TGATCTTAAAGGCAGTTCTTAAAGGTGCAAAATTGCTAGCACATAAATGAAAATATACTCAACATCTCTAGCCATCAAGGAATGCAAGTAAAACTACACTTCAAATCCTTCCCACTCCAGGTAGAATGGCTGTCACCAAGAAAATAACAACAAATGATGGTGAGGACTTGGAGGGAAAAAGGAACCCTAATACCCTGATGGTAGGAATGTAAATTAGTGCAACACTATATAAACCAGTGTGGAAATTCCTCAAAAAACTAAAAATAGAGCTAGTGTATGATCCTGGCTACCACTTGTGGGTGTGTACCTGAAGGAATCAAAGTCAGCTTGCAATAGAGACACCTGCACAGACACACTTATTGTCATACTACCCATGATAGCCAAGTTATAGAATCAGCCTCGATGTACACCGATAGACAAATGGATAAAGAAAATGTGGCACATATACACAGGGAAGTTGGACTCAGCTATAAATAAGAACAAAATCACGTCATCTCCAAGAAAATAGATGAAAATGGATATTGTCATGTTACAGATTAAGACAAGTATCACATGTTTTCTCTAATCTGAGGAATCTAGTGTTTTTACAAGGAGTAAAAAGGTGATTAACTGGTGAGAAAAAGGGGAACAGCAGGTGGGGGGACAGGCAGGATAGGCAATGGGGGTGAACATTATTATCAAAGTACATCATGTATGGAAATTTCCATGAAGCCCATTGTTCTGTACAATTAACACACACTAGCAAAAAAAATAAATAAATAAAAAGAAACTTTAAAACGACTAGTTGTGGTAAAAGAGTAAGTTTTACATTTAAGACTTTCATTGTGGACTGACTGAGCTAGCTGGGAACTCCATGATTTAAATTTAGATGACTATTTAAATTTGGAAGACTGTTCTTTTATCCAGCTGATAATTGTGTCTCTCTTGTGATATGTCATCATGTCCAGTACTCCATGAAGGTTCATTTCTGTCTTTGTATGTTATAAATCCAGTCTTAAGTGTTTATCTTTCAGAAAGCATTGTTTGAACAGTCTTGAGCTATTCACATTCTACAGGAGGAAACAATTAGCTTGAATTTGTGTTTATGAGTCTGTTAATTCTTGTACTTTATTTCTATGTATTCAACTCTAAAAATACATTTATATTTAAACATACATACACTCATAGCTGGTGTATATAAATGGAAATTTAATTTATCACTGTTGTAGAGACTAGAACCCTGATGGCTATACAGTGGTTTGAACTCAGGCCTCACACCTGCGAGGCAGTCACTCGACTACTTGAACCACATCCTCAGTCCTTTTTATTCTGTAGTGATTTTTCAGATAGGGTCTCACATTTTTGCCTGGGGTCAGCCTGAAACCATGATCCTCCTACCTATGCCTCCTACATAGCTGGAATTACAAGTATATACCACCATACTCAGCTTACTTGTGATGGGGGTCTCACTAGCTTTTTGCTTGGACTGGCCTTGAACCTCTATACTCTATATCTTCACCCCCTGAATGGCTGGAATTGTACATGTCAACCACCATGCCCTGCAGCAGATGATTCAGTTTCTTGGTGAGTGCTATTTTCCTCTCTTGGGGATAGCTTGCTTTTTGCTATCACCTCCCATTTCATAAAGAGACAGAGAGGCTGATGAGGTCAGAGAGAGAGCGAGACACTGAAAAACAGAGATAGACAGAGATACAGAGAGACATAGAGAGTTCCTGTTGTTCTTCTTTAAAGGACACTTAATCTATTGGACCACAACACTGTCATTATTATTTCACTTAACATTGTGTAATTAATTAGTGGCCCTATCAACAAATACAGTCACACTGAGTGTTATGGATTCACCACATAAATTCTGGAGTTAGGCATAATTATTCAGTCCATAAAATGAGTTAAATATAATGTTTTGTGTCTGTGGTTTTTTTTTGCTGGATTCTAGGTTTTTCTTCCATGATCCCTTTTATTTAATACACTTATGATGTGTTCAGTATACACATGATTAAGCTACAATACTTCTATAAAACCACAATTTGTTTTTGAACTTACTTTTCCATTTTTTTCTACTGTCATGAAAAATGTTATCTCTGGTTTGAAAAGTGCAAATCATCTTCAGAACACAAATCTGACACTGGAGTTTTACAGTCTATGGCAATGCAAATTTTCAACTGTCAATCAAAATATCACATTGTTTTGTATCACAAGCAACTAAGACTTCCAGTTACACACGCTATTCCCAGCACAGAGCATCCTTGAACATATTTTTCCCAGTCTTCTGGTATAAAATGGATGCTTATTGAGGATTTAATTTGTTTTTCTGTAATTATTTTTTAGGTTGGTCATCTTTTCTTGTGTTTATCAGCACATTTGAGTTTCCTTTTTTGAAATGCATGTTAATCTAATTAGTCTAATTTTATTTTGTGGTACCTGCATATTTGAGTATATAGCTATTGAAAAAGAGCTATTACACTAGAGTGAGATTGTGGATGAGACTCAGAAAGATGGGAGAAATATGGCATAGAAAAAAGATAAGAAGGACAATGAAAATCTTCTAGAATATGATATATGATACCTGTGATGTAGTACTGTCATTGTTTATCTTGTAGAAATCCTTCCCTAATAGTGTGTAAGCATATGAGAAGTCATGTGGTCATTAACTTTTTATCGTCCGAAATGTAGAGAAAGTAGGGGTTGCCAAGAGGGATTTCCAATGACATTCTGATTTGAGAAAGAAGTTTTAGCACTCTAGACTTATAGGAAAACAGGCAGGTCAATTGGAGCATTATCACCAAGGGCACAGATGATCACCTATGTTCTACAAAATCAGAAACTATTCCTGTCTAAATATTTTCAGAATTTCTTCACTTAAATAGCAGTTCCAAGTACTGATTTATTTTTAACATGAACAACAAACAAAGTCACAAGTATTCACACATCTTCACCTTAAGTAATGAGCACAAGATATTGATTTTCTAGCAAACATTCGAGAAATGGAGATGGAAAAGTATGGGAAGGTATGGGATCAATTTTGCAAGGAATTCAGAGAAAAGCATATGTTGAATGGGCATTTTATGACTTTGCGAGAAGCTTGCAGCAATGGAATGCTAAATCCATTGCTTCTGGGCCAAAGTCTGGCATTATAGAAATTATCTTCCTCTCACCATGGTGAAATAGTGATGAGGAGTTATAATTTTCCTCAATCTTTTGGTCAGAGAGTAAAGGTATTAGAGTGGTTTTGGTCATCTTGAAATAGCGTGAGTTCAGAATCAAGACATTTTGAATGACACATGCAGTCTCCAACATGGTTTGTTATGGATTCTGAATCATGTTTTCCCTGGTAGAAATCAAGAAGGTAAAATTTTTTGAATCACTAAGCTCCTGGTGTCTGCTGTTTGGTTATTACTATTATTTTTCCATGGGTGAACTCTTTAATGTCTGTTTCAAAAAGTAGTTATTTTCCTAGGGAGCCAAAAACAATGAAGCAATTGTATCCTGTTTTCTCTAATTTGGGGTTGGGATGGGAATATTGCTCCCTGGGTGTTCTTTTTGGTTTGTAAAATTAGAACTCACACCAATTTCTCAGGTGACCAAACCTGTATCCACATACCTATTTTGTTTGTTTGTGAATCTTCTGCTGTCTCAATTTAATATTGATATCCTAAGAGACTCAATCTGTTTCACTGAATTCCATGCTTTCTAGAGTAATGGAAGATCTTCCAGGGGATTTTATCTAAAGATATTCATACTCATTATATATGGGGCCATGTGGAAGAGATGTAAAACTTACATTCAGTATTATGATAATATGTGGGGGTTTTGTGTGTGTATATGTGGGTACAATACGTTACTTATCCCTAGAATCTATATGCCTCCATAGTATGACAGACGTCTTTGTGGAGAATAATTTTTCTTGAATTGTTTATCCAAATTTTAAGGTGATAGAGCAAATGCAAATTTACATGTAGAAAAACATATTTCAAAGCAACTGTATATCTACCTTTGAGAAGCTAGTGAAAAATATAAGCATGTTGGGTTTTCTTTCAAATATATCTCAAATGTCTATCATTTTAATATCTCTACTGCCATAACGAGGTGTAGTTTTTTGTATCTAAACTACTGTAACCACCACCTGTTCAAATTCCCACTGACACCCTTTCCTTGCTGTAATCTGTTCTGTATAACAATAGACAATGAGCTAGTTCAATTTTTAGACACTTGTTAAAATTTTTGTTGAATGTACTATTGCTTTGAGAATGGAATTATAGCGGCAATGGCCTTACAGCATTCTGAGGATTTGAAAAAAAAGGATGAAATGGCTTGAGTGGTAGGAATATACAATTAAGGGAACTTGAAAAAAGAAATAGACATTTTATTCATTTCCATAAGAATTCCTTTACAAAGGGCAATGGAAGACTGAAAATGTTGAGTGGGAATCCCTTTATTACAGGAAGAGCTGATAAATGTATTCCAGAGGAATGTACCTAGATGTCTGTATTATTGAGGTAGAATCATGTCATTCATGACTTTGCCTAGACCTCCTAGACACAATATTTCCACCAAGTCTCTAGATCCTGATACCTTGGAACTCCAAGATATCTTGTGTTCTTTTATCTTGATCCAACCAGGGGAAAACATACAAAGTGTGTTTTTAAGGTATGAAGAAGGTTAAGATCATTTACTACTTGTTGATTAACTGGTTTCTGACCTTCTCTTGAACCTAATTACCTATTCTCAGACTTCTATCATGGACTCCTCAAGTTTGATCATAGTCTAATCTGATGATTATTCTGATGTTTCATGATTTCCCCAAAGATGCTGAGTTGGCTTCTGAGGGAATAAAAATGTCCTTTGTCCAGACTACTACTAGCCCATTAGTGGCAAAAAGCTTGGAATATTAAGGTTAAAATGCAAAAACTGACTATAGCAAACCACATTATATTATGTAACAGTTATAATGACTTGTCTTTTTTTCACATTGCCATCACTTTTTTCAACTCTAGCAAAAGAAAAGGAGCATGAAGAAGGATAATCAGAGCAGTGTGTCTGAATTCATCCTCCTGCGGCTCCCCATCCTGCCAGAGGACCAAGACATGTTTTATGCCCTGTTCCTGGCCATGTACCTGTCCACAGTACTGGGGAACCTGCTCATCATCCTGCTCATCAGGCTGGACTCTCACCTCCACACCCCCATGTACTTCTTCCTCAGCCACTTGGCCTTCACTGATATCTCTTTCTCATCAGTCACAGCTCCAAAGATGCTGATGAATATGCTGACACAGAGTCAATCCATCTCCTATGCTGGGTGCATTTCCCAGGTATATTTTTTCATATTGTTTGGGAATCTTGACAGTTTCCTTCTCACCTCAAAGGCCTATGACAGATTTGTGGCCATCTGTCACCCCCTCCACTATACCACCATCATAAATCAGAGTATGTTTCCTGCTAGTAATTGGGTCCTGCATCTTTTCTTTTGCCATTGCCCTCACACACACCCTCCTCCTAGCTTGTCTCATGTTCTGTGGAGGCAACACTCTGCATCACTTCTTCTGTGATCTCTCTGCCTTACTTAAGCTGTCCAGCTCAGACACCACAATCAATGATCTGGTTATCCTCACTGTAGGAGTAGTGATCATCACTGTGCCATTCATATGCATTCTGATCTCTTATGGCCACATTGGGGCCACCATCCTGAGAACCCCCTCCATCAAGGGAATCTACAAAGCCCTGTTTACATGTGGTTCTCACCTCTCTGTGGTTTCTCTATACTATGGAGCGATTATTGGGCTCTACCTTTTCCCCTCATCCAGTAACACTAATAACAAGGATGTCACTGTGGCTGTGTTGTACATTCTGGTCACACCCATGCTAAATCCCTTTATCTACAGCCTGAGGAATCAGGATATGAAAGGAGCTCTGAGAAATGTACTCAGTAGAGGAAAATTTTCAGTGTGATGGACGTTGCATTTCCTTTATACTAGAGATGACACCTTCTCAATTCTCTGTTTTCCCAATCTTGATATGGCACCTCTCCTTCAGCTTGTGTTTCACATTGATTGTAATCTTGTCTTTGTTTAATGCCTGGTTGAGTTTAAGAGTCATTTGGCATGTTTTTACAAATATACCTGCACATTTCCCCTTTTATGCATACTAGTTTTGCCCTATAAATGTTTTAAAGTTTTATATAGTCATAGATTTTAATCATTTTTTATTGAATAGTTTACGGTCCTTTGTGGCAAAGTTTATTTTCCATTCTCAATGTAATAATAATGCTTCTTCTGATAAGTTTATGTATTATTTTTTATATTTATTTTATAAGACAATATATGTCAACTTTTTGATATCCTCATTGGTAATATAGCTTTACTTTTACTTTAAATGTCTTGTTTATTTACTTATATTTTTAATTTAACTGACATAAAATAGTATATATTTATGGGTTACCATGCCACGTTCCAATATGTGCATACATTCTGTAATGTTCAAGTCAAGGAAATTATTTCTATTTACTCAAACATTAGTTTTTTATGATGAAAATATTCAGAATTATTTCTTTTGTTGTTTCTGAAATACATAGTATTTTATCATCATCTATAGACACAGTGCTATGAAATAGAACACCTGAACTTCCTATTATTTGGTTAACTTCATATCCACTGACCAACATTTCTGTATCCTTTCTTCTCCCACATTCTACCCAGCTGCTTATAATTTCTTAGGCTAATAATGTCTAAAATATTTCACCATGTCCTTTGAGTGACAGTAACTAGGCAAACAACTTTTTAGCTCTCAAGCCAAGTGGGTCTGGTTACAAATTTAAATGAGACATTTTTATATAAAAGATATGTACAGTGGTCCAGGGAGAATAGATCCAGGTACCAAATATGAAAGAAAACTTGATTGAAGCCTTCTGTGTCCTAGGAAGGTCAAGTGGGAGATGAGGTACAGTATTGAAAATAGAGATTTTAAAATGACCTTCCTGGTGATGTTGAAATTATGTGTGTTCAGATAATTATGATATTGGCATTCAGTTTCCAAGGCTGTGTGCTGGAGAATGGTTTGTCAGGAGATCAGGAAGTCTAGGTAGTCTGTGACAAGTCTAAGGAGAAGTTCAGCTTAGTTTAATACAACTGTATTTTATTTTAAAAATGGAAAAAGATACTTCACAGCCCACCTGCACAAATGTGCTATCTTGTTTCCCTCTGAAATGGCAAAATTTTGTTCTTGAGAGACTTCCTTTCCTCAAGGTAAGGTGGTTAACTTCATTACTATAAGCTGATTACTGTGATAAATATTTCTATATACTTAACTTAGTGCTAGGAATGGGTATAAAGAGGAAATTCAAGTAAGAAAGGATTAATACCTATCTCTAGTCTTCTAAGCTAGCAATATTTTTGTGGAAATGGTTCTCAAACTACTGTGTATGTGAGGTCAAATGCAGATGCTTATAAGCCATTGGGATATTTTTAAAACCACAGCTACCTTTTCTCCATTTCACTTTACCCTTCATGGAACTATTGAAATATCATGAAACAAAATAATACTTTGATAATAATAGTTCAAATATACATCTGTATACACAATGTATTTTGCATAAGTATGTGCATATGCTCATATATGTGACATATGAATGCATTTTAAATAAAGCATTTAAGACCAACCATTAAAAGAAATATTCACTTTACAATCTCTAGGATTAAGTAATAGAAAATTAACATTATCGAGGCTTCTTTTGTCCCTCCTCTGCTTCTTTCCCCTGAAAGGTAACATTTTCTTGACTATTTTTAGTAATCACTAGTTTGTCATTTGAAATTTATATGTATGCATTTTAACTTCAAATTTTCCTGCTCTAGACTGCGTATGAATAAACAACGAGTATATTAATTCTGGTATAGTTTTGCTTTCATTGTTCACTGCTGTTCCTGTGAAATTTCTCTATTTAATATCCTGTTCCACTATGAACTCCAATACAATTATCTGCTCTTTTTTCTGTGGTCATTTTTTTTAAATGTTGGCTTTGTGAATAATGTTGCCACAAACGTTCTTACGCATGCATCCAGTGTCTGTGTGCCACAGATTCTATAAACTGTCTACCCAGAAGAGTAATTGGATGGCAAGACATGTACAGATCGAATTTAACTATCACTGTTTAGCTGTCCGATCCAGTAATCGGACTAGGAGACCAGTGTGAAAAGGCTACATTCTATGTCATTCCAATTCCTTGGCATCCTGGAAATTATAAAGCTCTATAGAGATAATAAAATGGTCAGGGATTGCTAAGAGTTTGGTGTGGAGAGAAAAGAGGGATTATTAGATGGAATAAAAGGAACTTTTAGGGGATAAGTAATTGTGTGTGATACTGTATCTGTGCATACATTATACTATACATTTGTGGAAACCAAAGAGAAACAAAGAGAGGCAAAATGTTTAAACAAAGAAACCACAACTGTATAACACAAAACATGAACCCTAATGTCAACTATGGACTTTACTCTAGTCTGTCACGTACTATCATGCACTTATTTTTTCCTCTAAATTCTACACATTTGAAAAAATAAGTGACAATTGTGCTTCTGAGTTTGGCTTATTTTGCTTGACATGATGATCTCCAGTTGCATCCATTTCCCTACAAACAACATAATTTCATTCTTGTTTGTTGCTGAATAATACTCTATATACCACATTTTCTTTATCAATTCATCCACTAATGGTAACTTAGGCTGATTCCATAACTTGGTTAATGGGACTAGTTCAGGAATAAACATGTGTTTGCAGGTATATCTAAAGTAAGTTAGCTTTGATTCTATGACCATGTGCACAGAAGTGGTAAACATAGATCATGTGGTAGCTCTATTTTTAATCTTTTGAGGATCTCCATGCATCCCACCAACAATGTATAAGGATTCTTTTCCACCTGCATCCTCACCAATGTTTTCTTGATGATAGCCATTCTGACAGGATTGAGATAGAATCTTAATGTAGCTTTGTTTTGCATTTCTCTGATGCCTAAAGAGATTTCATTTTGAATATGTTTGTTCAGTTTATTTACCAATTTATTGATTGAATTACTTATCCTTTTGGGGTATAATTTTTGGAGATATGTTATGCGTATTAATCCCCTGTTAGATGAATAGCTAGCAAAGATTCTCTCCCATTCAGTAAGAACTCTGCTACCTGTTAGTTGTTTTCATTGTTAGGCAGAAACAATGAAATTTGATGTCATCCCTCTGGTCAAGTCTTGCTATTATTCTTGTGCTTTTGGAGTTCAATCTAGGAAGTCATTATTTTGAAGTGCTTCCCCTATATTTTCCTCTAGTTGTCTCAAAATTCCACATCATACGTTGAAGCATTTGATTTAAGTTTGAGAAGATTTTTGTATGGAGTGTGATATAGAGATGTAGTTTTGATCTTCTACATGTGGATATACAGTTTTCCTAACACCACTTGTCAAAGATGCTCTCTATCTTCCAAAGTGTGAAACTGATGGCTACAGCAGCCTATTTCTGGGTCTTCTATTCCATAAGCCTACATGCATGTTTTTGTGCCAATACCATTTGGCTTTTGCTACTATGGCTCTGTAATAGAGTTTGAAGGTATGTATTATGATACCCGCCAACATTGCTCTTTTTGCTCAGTATTTTTTCTTTTTCTTTATTATAATTTTTAAATTAGGATATATTTCTTAAATGGGGGGATTCACAGTGAGAATTCCTATTAACCTTATATTGTACATTGGTTAGATCACCCCCATGGTCTCTCTCCCTCAACCCCCTCCTTGCCCCACTTTAAGCAATCGCAAGAGGTTTCTTTGTTCTATTTCATGTAAGTATATGAAGCTCATCAACCATATACCCTAACCTTAATCTTCCTTCACCCTTCTCCTCCTACAAGTATCTCTCACACACACTGTACCTATTTTACAGCCCTGTCTTTCATTATTAATATTTAAGTTGATGTTCAAAGAGTTTTCTCAACATATTCCTACTGTGGGTGTACTTTACTTTGGCCCACTCAGCCCCTTCCATTTCTCTCCCTTATCCCTTTACCTCCATCCATCGTTTTCAACAGTTTTCAATACACATACTTATAGCCTCTACCTTCACAGATGTTACATTTTACAATATTATTGATGTGCTATCATTCTTTTTTCCTTTCCCTCTTTCCCCAAATTCCATAGAGCAGTTCCACTATTGCAAATATGTTCTACAGCTGAGTTTGTATATGCTCATGCTTGTTTTTCTGTATATGTTTATCTTTTGGATCTATCTTCTGTGTAAGAGAGAAAACCTGCTGCCTTTGTCTTTCTGAGCCTGGCTTACTTCACTTAACATAATGTCCTCCAATTACATCCATTTACCTTCAAACCACATGTCATTATTCCTTATGACCAAGTAAAACTCCATTGTATATATACACCACATTTTCTTGATCCATTCTTCAGTTGTAGGGCATCTTGGTTGTTTCCATAGCTTAGCTACAGTGAATAGTGTTGCGATGAACATCAGCATACAGGTGTCTCTATTGTGCCCTGACTTAACATTCCTTTGGGTAGATGCCCAGAAGCAGTATCACTGGATCACACGGCTGTTCTCTTGTTAGCTTTTTGAGGAATCTCCATGCTGCTTCCGTAGTGGTTGTACAAATTTTCATTCCCACCAGCAGTGTGTAAAGGGTTCTTGTTTCACCAAATCCTCGCCAGTATTTGTTGTTATTATTGCCCTTCAATTATGGCCATTCTATCTGGGATGAGATGAAATCTAAGAGTAGTTTTGATTTACATCTTTTTTATAACAAGGGAAGTTGAATACTTCCTCATGTATTTACTGGCCATTTGTACCTCTTCCTTTGAGAATTTCCTGTTTAATTCATGTGTCCATTTCTTCATTGGAAAGTTGATTCTTTGGAAGTTGAGTTTTTTTGAGCTCCTTGAAGTTTCTCAATATTAGTTCCTTATC